CAGTGGGAGCTGGAAGCAGCTATACAAATGTATGTGAAGGTAAATAAAGCACAAGCCACTTATTTCCTAAGTTTGGCATTGACTAAAAGAGGAGAAATTCTGGAGAATTGTGGCAGAGAGGATTTGTGTATGCAGACCAATTGTTAGAGGGTGCTGGAATGCAGTAGTGGGTTACAAATAGCAAGCTGTGCGATATTTATTACCAAATGATCCTTTGATAATCTTCCTAGGGCTTCCTTGTGGCCCTTGTTATGCACAAAGAAAAGAATTGATCTTTCTCCAGCTCGTAACTGCTAAATTACTGATAACCTTCCACTGGGACAAAAATAAAGTGTCCAAAACTATAGGAATGGTTCCAAACTATATGGCAGGGATTATGGAAAAATAAGGCAGTAATTACATACCCAACAAAGTAGAGAGAAGTCAAAGAGATACTTAGATAACTGATTTCTATTTATTCAATCCTTGGATAAAGGCAATAAACCAAAAAAAGTACAGGTTGAAACTCTGTAAACCAGGATTCTCTGGTCTGGCAACATCCGTGGTCTGGGAAGACTACAGATGTCCCAGGACCAGAGAGTCCTGGTGGAGTGCCAGAGTGTGGGAGCCCTGTGGCTGCTGGACGTGCCCCACTGGGGCCATTTGGCAGGGCTGGGAGCACGGCACACCCCAGTAGAGATGGGAGCATGGCAAGCTGGGCTGCCCTGCAGCACCCCCAAGGCAGGCTGGACTCCCTGTCTGCTGCAGCCCCGCATCCCTTAAAGCTGCAGGCTGTTCCCACCATGTGATTATCATTTTTGGGAGAGGAAGGTGCTTGCGGGACCCACCCCCCAGGCCAATCTCTCAGCTCCTATTGGCTGGTTGTTTCCAGCCAATAGGAGTTAAGAAAATTGGACAGGGTCAATTCCTATTGGCTGGTTGTTTCTGGCCAATAGGAACTGAGAATTGGGCTGGGGGCAGGGATATCACACGAAGCTTCCCCCTCCCTCCAGAGCAGAGAGGTACCTGGAGCAGCCCTGTGCTTAAATCAGCAGCTGCTACATGCCTGAGGGTCCCAGAAGGGTGTCGATGGGTGGATCTGGTGGCTTGGGAGGCCAGATTTGGCCCATGAGAGGTAACTTGCCCACCCCTGGGTTAGATAAACAATGGGTCGGTATGGCCATTCTTATCTTTTTCAGTAAAACCAGCACACATACCAATATATGACATTGCCTTGTTTTCTCTGTAATAAGGTCACACCTTGTGAATAAGAGATTTGATTGTTATATTACATAGCATGTTTCTCAACACACATACACACCTTCCAGTTGTAAAGACTATCATTTTGTTTCTGATATCTGCATGACAAGGATTTATCAGACTTCCTAATCAAACAATGTAATATTTGTCCTCAAAGCGAGAGAGCCATATGCAGAGGGGAAGCAAAAAGGGCAGGCATCATTCTGTACATGCCACTGAATCTTAATAATTTCTCCAGCTTCATGGAAACTACTGCTGGAATTTACCTATACTCTGGAAAGACAATTTTCCCTCCCTGTCTTGAGTCCATTTATTTGCTATCACATGGCTGAAGTCTCACTTCAAGGTCACGATTTATGTCCTGTCTTGAGACAGATATAAAGTCTCAGAGAGGAAGCCATATTAGTCTACAATTGAAAAACAACAAGCATTCTCTGTGGTAGTTGAGATACTAATAAATGTATTAGGTCATTAGCTTTCGTGGGTAAAAACCCACTTCATCAAATGAGGGATGTATTTTTTTAAAGCAATATATACAAATCAAACAGGTTTCACTTGCTAATCTGCTGCTTTCTTCATATTATACATGATATGTTAAGCCTCATGTCCTCACACTAAATCATCTACTTCACAGCATAAAACTCAGAACTATCCTCTATGAAGGGTTCACACTGATAAACCACTTCATTTTATCTGTCAGATTCACTTTCTATGATTATGCTCTATTACACAAAGCTCTTAAACTACATCCCTATAGACTCTTACATCTTCACAATTTCTGTCCAGCAAGAGCTACAAGATAGACAGATTTGGCTCAATGAGTGGGATACAGCCTTTTTGTCATAGTTATTCACAAGCAATCAGTTACCAAAGCAGGTCAAAACAAATCAATAAACCAGTCTACAGAAAGATGAGGATCATGTATAACCCAATCTCATTCCAAGCCTCTTACAAAATGTTGACTCAACTACTTGGACTGGTTCTAAAACAGGTATCAAAAGAATAGTGCTGAGCTTTTGTATTTGTGGAAACAGGACACTGCCAATACCAGCCCTTTAAAAATTTCTCAGAGTACACTTAATGGCCAAGTGTTTGTAATTTAAAAGGCAATGTATTCTAGAGCGAATGTTTATACACTAGTAAGGTACTATGCAATAAGAAAGATTCAGACACTAGCTTATTCTTTGATTTGCATATCTTAATTTCCTTGTGCTTCAATCAACTCAGCTAGAAAAAGAGGTAAGCATGGAATATCTCGTTCCTATGGCTTTATGGTCAGTGCTTCATCCTGCTATGCAGATGAATGTTTGATGCCCAGTCTTCTACTCACCAAGATGAGAAGCACTGCAATGAACCACACAGGTCCCGAGAAAGAGAGGGAGAGCTTTGCATTACATAGCAGTATCCTCTCTGGAAGACTACAAAGCAACACCAATGCATTCCAGAAGTGATACTTGAGATTAATTTGAAACTGCATGTAATAAATTATGAATATATGTTGATCTGATTATTGTGAAGTCTACTGTATGGTTATAATGAGTTAATTCAATAACAATATTGTTAGGGGAGCATAGATCCTGAGATGCACTTCCCAGCAAACATTTAAGAGACAGTGCAAGAGCTGTTTACTTCGATGCTCCGGCTTGACCCCTTCCAGAGGTTTTGGGACAGTGAGTAAAAGCCTATGAGAAGACAGAACAAAGAACTTTGTCTGAATTTATAGAGGCAATCACTCAAGAACAAGGAAGAGCTACACTGAACTCAGTTTGCTGAGGTTCAAAGTCCAGGGTAAAATAAGCCTGTGGAGAACTCTAGCTAAGATGGACATGAGTATAGACTTTTTGTTGTTCTAAAATCCTCTTTCATGTGATAAGTATCAGAGGGGTAGCCGTGTTAGTCTGAATCTGCAAAAGCGACGAGGAGTCCTGTGGCACCTTATAGACTAACTGAAGTGTAGGAGCATAAGCTTTCATGGGCAAAGACCCACTTCGTCAGATGCAGGTACTTTGTGATACTTTGTTCCTCTGGTTAAGGTTAAACAATACTTCTGTTTAAAAAGGCTGGATGGTCACTATCCTACACTGTTCACAAAGTTCCCAAGAAAAGAACTGCAGATACTGAATACAGTCAGGGCTGTGTGGTAAGCCGGGCTGATGCACAGAATTGTTCCCTAGGAACCAGTTTAAGATGGGGCAAATCACTAGATTCCACTCAGAGAGAGGTAAAAGCTAGAGAACCAAGACCTAAGTTCTCTAAGCACTCACAGGCCAAAGAGGGGTAAAAGGTGTAGCTAGCTCTGTAATGGTGGGCCTACAGACTTTCTGGGATGCCAGACAAGGTAGGAGAGGCAGCTTTGTACTTTTGGAAGGGGTAAGGCCTTGGGTGGAAGGGGCAAGGTGGGGGAAACCAGCCCTCAGTGCTGCCCAAATCACGCCGCATCCTCCCAGTCACACTAAGAGCTGACTGGAGTGTGCTGCACAGATCTCTGGCAGCAATTTAAAGGGCCCAGGCCTCTGGCCACTGCCACAGCAGTGGAAGCCTGGGCCCTTTTGAATCCCCAGAGCCTGAGAAAGTTGCTCCCTTTATCTCCCCCCGTTGGTGGGCCTGTCTATAAACATGACATTAGTCCTCAGGTGGAAAGCAAGGTGACAATGATGGAAAGCTCTGAGGATCATAGGGACTGAAGAGTGCCAAAAACAACTCAGAAGAATGAGTAGTCCTGGGACACTTTAGAGACGAACAAATATACACATATGGTATCATGAGCTTTCGAGGGCAAAACCCACTTCTTCAGATGAGCTTGAGTGGACAAATATGGAAAAAAGAAAAAACACATGCTGCCGTCAAGTAACTAAAATATCCTCAACTCCACCCCAATGAAAGTATTTCTACTTTCTGGGGAATCAGTTCCCTACATTGTTAAAAGTGAGATCAATTCCATTTTTCCTGTCTAGCAGAGGTAGAGCAGTGCTCTGGAGAAAGCTCTTTTGCAGCTGTGTTTGTTAGTCCCAGAATATTAGAACTGCCATCATTTCAATCTACTCCTCTGCAGGTCACGGCAGAGCAAGGGCAAGAGAAAAGAAGCTGTTTGCCATGATTGGGGAAGCTTACAATAGAGGCCCAGACAATTTGTATGAAACACGCTTGCTGTTTAAGTACATAATTCTCCTTCCCCATTATTAGGCAATGAGGCCAATCAAAGTTTTATCTATCTTCTGCATGGACAGTTTCTATAGTGAGATGTGGAGATTCATCACTTTTACAGGAGAAAATACACTAGAAACAAAGACACGGATTCCAAGAGCAATAGATACACATTATTTCTACTATGTCTATAACAATTTCATGCTTATGCAATGTAGCAGGTAAAAAGAGATTCGACTGCTACCAATGTGCATTCATTCAACATTTCTTCCTTTCACAGACTAATGTAATACTTTGCATTGCTATGGTATCCTCTACCCAAAGATTTCACAGAACTTAAAGAGTAAGCCTTATCAAAACTCCTATGGAAATGGGTAAATATTCTTATTTTATACATAGGAAAAATGGAAGCACACATGAGTTAAGTGACTTTTGCAAACTTATACAGTAAGTTCATGGGACAGCCAGAAACTGAATACAGTCTTGCTTTAATCACTAGGTCATTGTGCCCCTATAAGACCTATTTGTAATCACCTATCATCTCCATTTCCAACAGCTGTATTTGGAGAGAGCCCCTTCAACTGAAAGTACACAGAAGAAAAAGATTCCTCACATACCAGTGAAAAAGGCCCTGAAAGGTTGCTGTTTCCAGAGGACCAGCGTCTTCCTCAGAGATAGGTTCTTGTTCCAGGAGAAACTATAATCCATTAGCAAACTATATATAACACAAAAGAGACAGGTGTTTAAATATGAACATATTTTATCATATAACTGTACACAATTAAACAAACACATTTGGAAGCTATATATTCAGAAGCAGACCCATAAAAAGAAAATATATCAAAGATCATAACAAAATTCCTAATGAATCTCTTACCTCCTAGCCTACTCTAACCGTTTTTCACCATCTCTAGGAAATTATGTCAATTTCTCTCACAAGATTTGGGTTAATTTAATGTTTAATCCAGTTTATCTTTTTTTCTAACAAAACATTATTCCAAGTTATGTTAGTATTATTAAAGAGATTCTGCCTTTAAGGAGGATATTGTGCATGGATCTCTGGTGCATCCTTCCCAATACAATTTATTAATCATCACCTATGTATTTTGTTCTATTTCCAGCACGTCTGTGAGTTGGATTACAAATTGTTTCATACTATGTTTTTATTTGCAGTGCTGTTTAGAGCAAGATTTATTACAGTTAATATTTTTCAATATTTTGTTACAGTTGGTTTACTTTTTTAATTCTAATGTAATCTTCTGTTTTATATACAGGCAGTCCCCGGGTTACGTACAAGATAGGGACTGTAGGTTTGTTCTTAAGTTGAATCTGTATGTAAGTCGGAACTGGCATCCAGATTCAGCCGCTGCTGAAACTGACCAGCGGCAGATTTATTACAGTTAATATTTTTCAATATTTTGTTACAGTTGGTTTACTTTTTTAATTCTAATGTAATCTTCTGTTTTATATACAGGCAGTCCCCGGGTTACGTACAAGATAGGGACTGTAGGTTTGTTCTTAAGTTGAATCTGTATGTAAGTCGGAACTGGCATCCAGATTCAGCCGCTGCTGAAACTGACCAGCGGCTGACTACAACATACAGATTGAACTTAAGAACACCAAGTCAGCTGCTGCTGAAACTTATCAGCCACTGATTCCAGGAAGCCCGGGGCAGAGCAACTGCGCC